AAACCGGCGGAGGCCCGAACGAGTCGTGGTCCTGTTGGATGGGGTTCCGGCCTTCGCGAATATCCCCCAGATCTGTCAGCCCTAACTCTTTGCGAATGGCCCAACGCTCGTCTTCGAGTTGGTCGGACTCAATGCGCAAGCGCTCCAGCTCTGGGGTGCTGAGATCCGACACCGCGTCGTGGTAGGGTACATCCAAGTCCGTTCGATGCCAGTAGTGTTTCAGCGGCTCACCTTTCATGGCGTTAGGGTCGGTCGTGCCCTCCGGCGGTTTCCCTATCGGGTGCTGGTATTTGTTCTTTCGCACATGTCTCTTGTACTCCATCGCCTGCCACTCCATGTTCCGGAACACGTGCCCGAGCTCATTTCGCATGACCTGGGTTTCCTCCTCGTTATAGAAAAGGTCGCCACGAACAAACCCGAGTGTCCACGTGGCGCCCTTCTTCGCCTTGGCTATCATCTCCTCGCCGGGTTTGCGCACGCTCTCTCGCATAGGCCGCACGGCGCGTTGGGGGTCGGCGTAGTCTTGATTTTCGTCCAACTCCTGAAAGAGCGCCTGCGAGCGGTTCATGTGCGCCAACAGCCGCATCATCGCGTCCTCGGCTTCCTCGTCGTCGAGGATCATCGGGCCGAAGTACTCTCGTTTGTAGTGGCGTAAATACTCCTCCTCGCCAACGCTGGGGGGGTCCCCTCGGTGGCTTCGCATCCACCGCTCCCACAGCCGATCGTCTGTCGCTATGGCGCCGTAGGGCTGATGTTTTTTATTGCTGTCCCGCCGGTACATCCGACGCTGTTCCTGGCGGCCTTTGATGTACTGCCAGGTCACCGTAAACTTATTACCAAAGCGATCCTTCGCGATGAGGTGTTCATGCGTGAAAAAGTAGCGAATGTAGTTCCAGTACAGGTGCTCCCACCACTGGATAATGCGATTATCGGCAAGACCAGTGAAGGAGTGCTTGAGGCGGACGGTTTTATCCCCAAAGGCGTCCACTGAGCGCAAGTATTTGGGCTTATCCGAGTCGAGTTTTTCCCGCATTTCCGCAGCCGCAGTTGGTCCGCCAAGCATAAAGGCCTCGGTGATAAGCGCTTCTTTCCTATTCTTTTCCTGCTTTTTTTCCTCATCGAGCTTTAGATATCGCTTCGCTTTTTCCAAAAGCAGCTCCTTCTCCTTGGTGGCGAACGCTATGGCGTCTTCCTGGCGGCGGCGTGCATAAACAACTTTGGACGTGTTGTCATCCTTTTCGTTTGTCATTTCCTTGATATTGGTGAGGATACTTGCGTTGGTCAGGCGATGCCGAGCTGCAAAAAGGAAAACGGACGTATCTGAAACACTACCTTCCGGCTTTCTTTGCAATGAAGGAAGAGCCGTCGGTATGGAGGATCGAAGGTACCTCATGAAGATAACGCCTTGCCTCGGGTTTGAAAGCCAAACATTGTGGGGTAAGCTCACTTGTGGATTAAAAGGCATTGATTCTTTCTTTCTCCTTGATCGGTTGTGGTGCTCACAATATTCCTTAGATGTGCTTTTTATCAGCACCGCTACTAGCCTTCCTACAGTTCAATACTAAATCAGCCAATTACCTCAGCGAGTTCTAGAAAAGTAAAGCATTTGAAAAGAAAGGGGAGGAAAAGATGATTGAAGCAATAAAACGAAATGTAACTAATAAAGTCATTTTATAATTGCCCATGTTACTTAGGGTAAGTGTTTCGGTCGATAATCGTACCAAGTAGCAACAGTCTGCTAACAAAAATAGAAAACAATAGAAAAAAGTCTAATAGTAATCTAAAGACAGTGGCAAAGGCTCTCATGAGAATAATAGAAATTAATAGAGATCTTAACAAGGGAAACAGCGTAATTGTGGAGCAAAATATGGTTTTACTTACCCATACTCCACCCAACAGTTTAGCAAGAATATGTAAGGCCAACTCATTTAATCAGCACGCAAAAGCGAAACCTTGAAATTTACAGCATTATTCAAAAAGAATAAAAGGAAATTGAAATAGGGGTATAAACAATGAATAGAAATTTCACCTCTATTAACCCCTCAGGTTTATTGTTTTAGTGTTCGAAGTGATTTCCGCCAAGCGCCTTAGCGCCCCTGCGCGCAGGTCCTCAGTACCCGAGACTTCCCCGTGCGGAATCTCTCGTCGCAAAGAAGGATGCCGCTGAACAGGCGGCGAGATCCCTCTATCACGGCTGGACCATGCCGGCAAGCGATTTTCGGTTTTAAAAATTTGCATAGAGTCCGTTAACGGTGGTTGGGGGAAATCCCGACGATTGTAGGCATGGTAAACGTCATTGATGGGCATGGAGGAACGCGGTGGGGGAGGGGAGGAATCCACTCGACGCGCCGGCGAGGACTTCTTCTTTAATTTCGTTAGCGGCGAACGCGGAGGAGAGTATACTCTGACTTTTTCGCCACGAGGAAGTGCGCGATGGTCAACTTCACGTGATTGTAAACGCCTCTTTTGAGATGGAGTCGGTTGCTTACGGCAGGATGAAGGTTCAATAGAACTTTCCACGCTACGAAGATGGCGGCTACAACCATTTTCACCTGTTGTTATACGATGATCAAACCTGTCTTGTTGCCTAGCGCTTTGTTTGACAGCTCGATGGCTAGGGAAAGACGATTGCGCAGGCTGCTCTATAATCCCAACACTCGAGGATCGAGTCATTCGTCGTATTCCCGTCGAGGAATCAGAGGAATTCATCAGTAGGTTCCTACCATCTACGACATTGCGCTCAGAGTATCCAACCCGTCCGTAGCTATCGCAGCGTACAACGGCATCCATCACCACGTTTGGGCTTCGGCTTTTTTGAAGACCCGGTACTTTCTTGTGATTTTTAGGATTCACTCTTACTTCCTCCTCTCGCATCGGACGCACGGGATCCCACGAGCGTGAAAGGCTGCGATCCCCCACATTCGCCCTCGTCGTTTGCGGGAAGTTCTTCGCGTAGCTGCGCACTTCCGGTTCGGCGACGACGTGAAGAAGAGTCCGATATTCCTTCGCTAATCGCTCTTGAAAGTCAATTAAAGGATCCCCCCCTCCCACCGAAGATCCCCCTCGATGTGAGGAATCTCCCGTGCGTCGGATTTCCGCTTTGGCGGCCTCGGCAGTCCCACCTTTTCGCGAATGAGAGTCGCTGACGAGCGACTTTGCGTAGTTCAGCTCATCGCTGAGGGCCCTCGCATAGCGAGCGACCTCCTCTATCCCACCCCACTCCGCGCGGCTTTCTGCCTTTCCCCCTTTCTTCGCCCCCGTAACAGACGACATCGTCCGCGAACTCACCACTGCGGAATCCCCTCTTCCACTGTCGATTTTGCCCTTTTCCGCGTTCACAGAAATGCGTTTTAGACGCCGAAGCTCCGCGCGCGCGAAGGCGGCCTCGGATTGTGCGCGATTTCGCTCTTCTTCGGTGGTGATCTTGAGACGTTCGGCCTCGGATGCGCGCTTCTCGGCGAGGGCTACGCCTTTTTTCAGCAACTCCACCTGCTCCTCCAACTGCTTAATCTGAATGGAAACGTCCTCACTGATCCCTTCTTCTTTTTCCTCTTTTTCTTTTTTTGCGTTCGGATTTGCCGCTTCCTCCTCCAGAGCGACCTGCGCGAGCTGGAACATATGTCGGATGACTTTGAGCGCGAGGTCGTCCTGGACGAAGTGGGAGATCGGTGCCAGCGCGTATTCGTGTTTCGCCTTAGTGACGTTTGACGGGCCCCGCGACGGCATCGGCGGGAACGCGCCCTGAACCCTTTCCATCTCCTTTCCCTTTTCCCATATTTCCCCCTTTGGTGATAGGGGGGGCTTTCCTGAAAGACCCAGATCCCCCCCTTCCCTTGGATCGCGAATCGCCCCGGCGAGGATGTCCTCTGGGAGGGAATGCCCCCTTGGCAGGGTCCGCTGCTCCGCCCAGCTCACATACATCGCGCATAAATCAATCACGTCCTCCGTGAAGGCTCGATCCCGCGCGAGTGCCGCCTGCGCGGCGCCCAGGCGATCCATCATGTCGAACACCCCCTCCCGCAGCGCCTCCAGCGCGCTTGTCCACACACACACGCCTTCCCCCCGCACGCGGGAAAAGAAGTAGCACCCCTGCTGGCGTCGTCCCCGCTCGTCCAGCATCGCGTGCAGCTCCCGCAGGGCGGGCGAGTCGTCCTCGGGGTCGAGCGCGAGGTAGCGCCCGAGCATCTCGGCCAGCACGGACTGAATCGTCTCCGTGTCCTTTTGGATCAAAATCGCGGCGAGCTTGTAGTCCGAGCTGAAGCGTCGCAGGGACTGGTTCACCGCGTCCAGGTTCCCCGCCGCAACGCGCAGGAGGGCGTCCCCGTCAATCGCGGCCTCCTCGGTTGACACAGAA